CCAATTGTCTTCAGTGAGTTCCTATCTCACAACAGACGTGGTTTTGAACTCCACTGGTCACTGCTTCTCACTAGAGCTCCTAGATATACTTCTCGAAATCACTAGTGAGCATATTATTATATTAATTATAGAAGGGGTTTTGTGGAGATTTAGTATTTATCATTGTTGAAAGCGTGAGTCAATTGAAGCTAGACCACCATGGAAAACCTGGAAACACTGGACGGCCGTTTCGTCCTATTATGGGACTCCTCAGCAGTGCGCATCCACGAACCTGCTCTCGCGAGCGAGATTCGAACCCAGGACCTACCAGTCTCCAGCCGAAGCCCTTAACCGATAGACCACTGAGCTGGCATCCAACGGTGTTAATGTCTAACTTCAACTGATCCACGAAGTTGAGCAACCATTCACCAATTGTCTTCAGTGAGTTCCTATCTCACAACAGACGTGGTTTTGAACTCCACTGGTCACTGCTTCTCACTAGAGCTCCTAGATATACTTCTCGAAATCACTAGTGAGCATATTATTATATTAATTATAGAAGGGGTTTTGTGGAGATTTAGTATTTATCATTGTTGAAAGCGTGAGTCAATTGAAGCTAGACCACCATGGAAAACCTGGAAACACTGGACGGCCGTTTCGTCCTATTATGGGACTCTTCATGGTGGTCTAGCTTCAATTGACTCACGCTTTCAACAATGATAAATACTAAATCTCCACAAAACCCCTTCTATAATTCTAAGTGAATTTATAGTAAATAAAATCTATACGGGAAATGAAGAAAAAACATTAAGCATAATACTACTCATACGAAGATCAAAATCAGTATTACTTGAGTAGGTTTACTTTAAGTTATATTCCTATTTTGAGTTTCATATAGCTTATGCTATGCATTCAAACTAGATCACATTTTAATAGTACCCAGATAGACCTAATTTTAAAAAAGTCACTTAATTTGATCCACGATCAAACCATCCAGCTCAGAGAACAAAACTCCATCAAAATCACCCATCTGAGCTAAAAATCTTCTCCACCATCTCAAACATTATATTTTGCCAGATACTGTTTGATTAATCTTATAACCTTCTATAATTGTGTCATTTTTTTTCTATTTTACAATCATTCATACTTATGAGTAAATAAACCATATGTAAACTGACAATTGGAATGATTTTAAGTTTTTATCTTATTCCCATCTTCAATAACATCCCTGTAAAGACACTGATTTATGGGCAAAACAATCACATTTAGGATAACAGATCCTTTATATTGGCGCGATATTCATTCACCTATTTATCAAGATAGCGTTTTGGCATTATAGCTGATATCAGTCCATGTTGGAAATCATCAATCGTAAATCATTTTCCTTATTTTTCACACTGCTTTATAACCCTCATTTAACTGTAGTAATTCGGGTGAATAATTTGAATGTCATTTTAACGTCGCTTAATGGTTGTCAATAAATTATGATCTCACTCTATCTCTTCCTGTTATAATTCTAATAGTTATATTTTACAGAATGAAATTCAACCGGTAACAATGACATTTATCCATAATTCATTACTACTGAATTAAAAATACCCTTAGCAATTCTAGATTAAATCAGTGATTTATTTTCTTCATTTAAAAAGGCTATAAGTACCCGTTGTCTAAATTGCAAGTACTCCTTTGTTGTTGTTTTTTTTTTAAATTTATAACAAAACCACTTCTTATTTCATATATTAAATGTTTATAATCCAATGACTTATTCAATAAATTATAAAATGAAGGTGTTCTACAATCAGATCAGTGAAGAAATTCGTTTTTATTAGAATATATAAACTTAAAGTAGATAAACAATAAAAATCAATGAAGGATTGAACGTGTTACTACTTTGTAGTATCTATATAAGATTACATCCGAGATATAAATTGAATATGCTACATTTCGATCATTTATTTTCAAACAGCTCTCCATGGAAAGGAAGGCCTTACCATACAGCTTAATTGGACCATCTATCCTAGTCACTAAGTCTGATATTATTTACAATTTCACACCATTACATTACAAATCAAACTTTATCCTTTGTAATTATAAAGGTCACACAGTTTTCATTATTAACAGGGCATACATACACACAAAATTACATACATATCCCTTATGAATAACTTTGAACAAAATGAAATGACATGACATTGATCTATTCAGACCTGTTTTTTTGATTGATCACACCTAATTATTCTTTGATTGTTCCGTTGTACTATTTAAACTTGGATTAATGTCAACTTGGTTATTTATTTACTCTGAAGAAGTGGCTTACACTAAGTCACGAAACATCAGAAAATCTAATATTTTCTACTCATTGGGATATTACAAATATATTTTTCTTTATTTATAACAATCTACCCAATGTTCAATTTATTCAAAATTATCAAATCAAGTCTTGGTAATGATAACTTCAAACTTAATGGTTTACATTTCTATATTAAGTTATTAAGTTCCTATAAGATGTTGGCTAATGGTTTGAAATCAATACATACCATTTGATAGTAAAACTGTGAACTGAAACTTTCAATCATTGTTACAACTTTGTACTAATATTCTTATATTGTGTGATCAGAAACATGGAAAGTAACTAAAAATACTATATATATATTTGTTATATCCCAATGAGTAGTTGTCGTAACCTGTGGCTGAGTGGCTGCCATGCTGACGTATGACGTGATAAAAACCGTCAATCAGAGTGCAGCGAATTATCGATTGGAACAGTGATACACAAAAACCGTACGAACGGTTTAGAGTATGTATTAGTCCTGCTTTTTCCCAACCCAGTCAGTTTAGTCCAGAACAGCCTCTGTGGTATGAATCGTTATATTTCAAGCATACTGAGTTTATATACCAATCAAACAGACCACATCATACCATAAAATGGAAAATAACAGGTGTACAAGATTTAGCTAAACGTGGCTGTGAATATGAGGGAACAGTAAATAGTAGACTGGGTGTAATTCATGAATGGTAAATCGTATAACAATAGTTTATAATTCAAAATAAAGCTCATGATAAGGAAAACATGAATATGAATAGTTTAGTTATTTAGCAATTATACGATAAAAAATATATGCATAATATTGATCCATAAATGGATCCCAAAGTTATCATTCACTATTGTTGTCGGGACATAACAATTGCATATAAGATTATGATACAGAGAGAAAGAATTCGATCGTAGAAACAAAGGTATAAAATAATATTTTATCTTTTGGTTTAAGGGAAGACAAAGAGTGTATACACCGACGACATTGTGATCGATTCTCAGCCATTTCACTCAAAGTCTCCAACCATTGGTTACAATAGTCAGGCGTACCTCAATCAATTATTCCGCATCTACCAACATGGCTCAGACTAGAAGTTATTGATTGACAAATAGTTCTCAAAAGTTACCATTCATCATTCTCTTCGTGATACAATAGTAGTAAATTGTATTTCTGACATTTCATGACTTAATGTAAGCCAATTCTTCAGAGTAAATAAAAAAACGAATCATATTAACACAAGTTTAAATGGTACAAAGGAAACAATACAGAATCATTTAATTGGGTTACTTATTCACATTGAAGAAATGGCTTACATTCAGTCACGAGATATCAGAAATGCAATTTTCTTCTTATTCGGATATCATATATATATATATATATATATATATATATATATATATTGATTAATAATGATACATTATAACTAGATTATTAGCTTATTTCAATCAGCAACAGCCCAATATGGGAGAGAACAAACCAACTTCCAAGTTAAGAGGAAGTTAGGAAAAGATTCTGGAAGTGCATAGGACGTAAATTGAGGAAATCATAGAACTGAATCTCTATCTGTAAATCCTGAAGACAAAAGGAAAAGAGAATTATCAAAGAACACACTTCATCGGGAGTCAGAAGCAGACATTAAGAAGATGTATAAAAAATGGAAAAAAACTGGAAAAGATTTTTGACAACAGAGTTGGCTGAACAATGCTACTCCACAAAGGTTAACAGGCGTAAGTAAGTAATACTGTAAAAATATTGGTAAATTTACACATTTTTTCTAAACACTTCAACAAATAATCTTTAAAGTAGGTATGGTTTACCGTGGGAACACGGTGGATCTGACGCAGATTTGAAGACAGAGATCGGCAAAGCAAGATCAGCATATTTACAACCAAAAAAAACATCTGGAAATCAAAGCAGTTGTCAACCAACACCAAAATCAGAATTTTCAATACAAATTTCAAGAACGTACTACTGTATGGGTTGGGAACCTGGAGAACTACGAAAGTCATCATTCAGAAGATACAGGTGGTTATTAACAGTTGCCTACATAAAATACTTCGGATCCTTTGAATAAACACTATCAGCAACATTTTACTGTAGGAGAGAACAAACCAGAATTCAGTGGAGGAAGAAATTAGAAAGAAGAAGTGCTGGAAATGGATAGTACAAAAATTGAGGAAATCATCCAATTGTGTCACAAGGCCAGCCCTCATTTGATATCCTCAATATCAAAGGAGAAGAGGAAGACCCAAGAACACATTACGCCGAAAAATGGAGACATTCATGAAAGAAAAATGAAGAGAAGTTGTATAGAACTAAAAAGGAAGTCCCATGACAAAGTGAGTAGAAGAATGTTGATCAGCGGTCTATACTCCATTGAGAGTATCAGGCGTAAGTAAGTAAGTTACCTTGGTTTTTAAGTTGAGAGAAGAAAAAAGAAAAGAATGATCTCATTTAAATATTTATTTAAAAAAATAAAGCTTGATACATATATATAGATACATATTATGAATGTCAATGAATAAGCATATAAATATATATGGATGAGATTCAATCCTTTGGCGTATACTACTTTTATGAATAAGTAGTATATATATATATATGTTTACAAGGTAGAGGAAACATAATGTCATTAGTACATTGACTTATTTACAAACATATATATCGAGCTATATCCTTGTCATATTCCATTGTCATTTTAACCAGTTACTTTTTTGGTTCTAATCTTAATGATAATTGTGTTATTATTCTTGGATCATCAATACATTCCATATGTTCTAAGATAAACATTTTAGTTTCATTTGATACTTCAAGAAGTTTTTGTACTGTTAGATTATTTAATGATGTATAGTATTGTTTATTAATGTCAATATTTATTAATTGATAATATGGATGTAATAATTCATAACCAGTTATACAATTAATCCATGTACGTAAACTTTTAGAAATAAGACGCATTTTTTCAAAATTAATTAATCTTATACCATTTTGTTGTTTATGATAATCAGTTTGATTAGCATCTTCAGCAAATCTTAAATCTTTTAAAATTAATGGTAAAAATGGTAATCGTGGGGTATTGTTAATACTATTAGTTGAATATTTATCATTATATGTATTCCATAAACGAGCTGTACGATGATTTTTTGATGGATCTGTTAATGGTAATAATGTATTATTAAATATACGACGCCATCGATTAGGTACACGTTCCCATGTATTGGTTAATCTTGTTATAGATGAATTTTGTAATCCTAATATAATTGCAAATGAACTATATAAATCATATAATGGTGATGAAATTAATCGTTCAGCCAATTTAATTAATTTTCTAATAATAATTGCACGTTTTGTTAAATGACATGTTGTTACAATTTGTGTCATTGTCCATGTATGTAATAAACTAAAACGTTTTACTAATGTACGTACATGGGGACAAGGCTTGTTACTTTTATTACCATAAATTACATAATCTAATAATTCTTGTGGATGTATACATATTGCTAATTGTACATGACAATATGATAATGTTATAGCTAATTCATCAATTGTTAATTCATCCAATAATTGAATAGATCCATGTAATGACTTATTTCTTCGTAATATTGAACTATCATATGGATGAAATAGTTTTACACGATCTATATCATTTAATTCTAAAAAATTCATAGTTACTATTAATTGTTCAGCTAATGGTGCTAAGCTTTGAATTGTATCCTCTGAGGTTAAAAATAATCTCCCATTTGGTGATAAACTAAATATAATACCACAATCATAATCATGATATAATATCCAATCACCATTAGATAATATTTCAACTAATTTTAATTCATTTAAATGATTTGTTTTAATTAATTTATAAGATGATAATAATGATTGTTTAATTTGATAAACATTGGCTTCAATTGGTATAGTAATTTGAATTTGTTTTTTAAATTCATTTATATAAATTTGAATTGTAATAGTATGTTGAGATTCAATTAATGGTAATGTATTGGGATGAATAGGATAACCGATTAATAGATTAGGTATAGTGATATTAGACATACTGGATGATGTATAATCTGTCTTAGTAACTATAGATGATTCATGATGTTGTTCATTGGACGTTGATGATGATGATAATAAAAATTGAGTTTTATTCAATTTATTCATTATACGTTTATTATTAGTATTATTACTACTACTATTACTACTATTATTAGTAGTAGTAAGAGTATTATTATTATTATTATTACAAATAAATGGTAAATTACGTAATACATTATATGGAAAATGTAAAAAATTTGTTAATAAATTTGATTGTTTTGTACTTATTGATTTATTATTGATTAATTTTTCATTATTTTTTATTAATTGATTTAAACAATCAATATATAATATATAATCATGTTGTTGATTCTCATTATTATTGATTTTATTGATTTTATTATAATGATTATTGATTAATGCCATTTTTAAATGAATTAAAAATTGATTAATTTCAATTTGATTAGCAAATTTAAATAAACCAATACAATAACGCCATATATAAAATAATATAATAATACGACTAATTTTTATCATATCATATTCATAATCATTAGGAAATTTCCAATATCCATGATCATTATTATTATTATTATCATTACTATTATTACTAATATTATTATTATTATTATCATTAGTATTATCACTATTATTATTATCATTATGATTATCATTATTATTATTACTATTATTATTATCATTATTATTATTATCATTCGTATTATCACTATTATTATCATTATTATTATCAACATTATTATTATCATCCGTATTATTACTATTATTAGTATCATTATTACTATCAACATTATTATTGTTATCATTATCAATATTATTAATTTTATTATCATTATTATTATCAACATTATTATTATTATTATCAATATTATTAATATTATTATTATTATCAATATTATTATTATCATTATTATTATCATTATTATTAATACTTTCATTATTATTATGATTATTATTATTCATGCTGTTATTATTAATTGTATATTGTGTAAATTTATTACTGTCATTATTATTAGTAATATTATTATTAGTTTCTAATAATTTATTACAATGTAAATATTTATATAAAAATAATAAAATTTCATTATTATTAGTAAATAATGTATATGTAAGAAAAAAGATTTCCCATGTTTCATCAATATTCATTGGTATATTTGAATATAAATATGAATAATATAATTGATTATTATTATTATTATTAATTAATTGTAATTGATTATTTAAATCAGTTAAACAATTTTCTAATAAATAATATAATATATTTTCAATAGTACCAGCAATAATTGAATAATTATAATAATTTAATTGATTTAATTGATTTTCATTATTATTATTATTATTATTATTATTATGTAATATATCATTTTGTGTATATGGTAATAATAATTTTATATTTGGTATATATTCTAATATTAATATATCATTATTATTATTTTTTAAATGTACTGTATTTGCTTCAACATTATATAATATTCTATGAAAATCATTTTTATTTAATTTTAATAAATGACAATTATTTTCAGCTAATATAATACTAGCTGCTCTTGGTTTATCTGTTATTAATGATAATTTACCAAAATCATCACCTTCATATAAATGACATATATAACCTTGATCATTTAAATATACCCATACACTACCATGATATATAATATACCATGATTGACCTAAATCACCTTGATAAAATATTATATCATATGCATTATCATGTACTTCATAATATAAACATTTACATAATTCTTTTCTAACTGTTATAGAAAATGATGATAATGCTGGTAAAAGTAATAATTCTTGATATACATATTGTAATTCTATTTCAGTACGATTTGATGGTAATTTTTGTAAAATTTTACGAAATAATGCTTCAGGTGCTAAACGATATAATCGTTCAATTAATACATGATAACCATCTATTTCATAATTATTATGATCATCTAAATCTATTATATGTTCATGAGTTTGTTCATATTGTATATCTTGTGAAATTTGTTCCACTGAAGTTTCATTATAAAGTTCTATATTAAATTGATTTATATTAGAACATATTTCAGTAGTTGCTATGGCTTCATCAATTGATAAACGTTTATCTTTTAAATGTTTACATATATAATATACATCATCACGATCATAAAATTCAATTGAATTAAAATTTTGATTATTATTATTATTATTTAATGGTAGAATTGGTTCAATTGCATTTTCATCTAATAATAATTGCCATACACCACATATTAAATTACGATCAGTTTTATTTTCATAATTCATTAAATATGTAACTAATTGTGAACCAGAAATTTGATTTTGGATCTCTTTTAAATTAGATTCTACTTTAACTGATGATGAGGATGTAGATGATGATGATGATAGCGATGATAATAATCTTGTCCATATTTCTGAACATACAGTTATAATCCAATCTGGTGTAGTTTTAGCTTTATATAATTTAGGTATTGATAATTTACATTCTGTTATACATGGTAATTGATCTGATTTTTCTATTTTTGTTGTTGAGGTTGTATTAAATAATTGATTATTGATTATATCCATATTAGAAGAAGAAGTTGAGTTTTTCTTTTCCTATCAATTATTGATTTATGATATTGAAAACTATTTGATTACGGATTCGAACTATTAAAAAAAAACGTACAATTTGGATTCATGTAAAATATGAGGAGGGGGGTGGAATTTATTTTTGGTTGTTTCCTTCTTTATTTTCATAATCTGTAATTATGTAAATGTTTATTATGATTTATTAATTAGTTAGTAATATATATATAAATAAGAAAAAGAAAATTTTTTTTCTTCATTTTACCACCCACGTAATGTTTTTTTTTGGTTTTTTTTTCTATTAAATTAATAAATTGAACCAATCAACAACTAAGTAAGGGGAAATTAAAATTTGATTGGTTCACCTATTGATGATGATGTTAGTGGTAAAAAAAAGTATGAATGATTATTTAATGACTTACTTATACCTGTTAACCCTTATATAGTGGAAAATGAATTGTTTACTAGCATTCTTGGATAATGTTTTCTAGTTGTTTCCGATTGTTATTCATTTTTCTTTTTTTTTTAATTGTGTGTTTCTGATTCCTGACATACTTTGTTGTTTAGTCTTTGACTTTTCTGTTTCACTTCATGATTTCAAGTTCAGGCTAATCTCATAATGAAATTTGATATATTTCTTAATATGTATCTATTAATGGGACATAGATTGGATTAAAGCATGTTTTATGCATGATGGTGTTGCTGCGCGCTGATTGGCTAATTTTAAACCGATCAGCCCGGGCATATTATTGGAGAAAAATCTAGAAGCTTCTTATGTATATACTATAAATATATGAACGTTATTCAAACTAGTGATTGCTGTTCACTTATCATTATTATTTTGAATACAATTTGATTTTTAATATTTGTTCATTGTGCTTCAACCCTATGTGTACCTATGTTTTCCATCTTTGTTATGCTGATAAATCTTTCAAGAGCACAGTTTCTTTAAACCAATAATTCCATCGAGAATCTGTTTGAATAAATGACAAGTATTTACAAGTTTATTGCTATTTAGACAACAGTCATGATCAACATGCAATGTAAGCAAGATTTAGATTGGTTCATCAATAGAATTCAAACTTCTAGTGTCTTTTAACTCCGCCTGTAAATCCTCCGGGGGCTACTGCCCGTCCCAAGCCCGGATAAAGGAGGAGGGTTAGACATGGGGTTGGCGACTCCATCCCGTAGAAAACTAACTCGCTAAGAAACGCTAATCAGAAAAGTAAGTAAGTTTAGTCACTTTTATTCTTTTGAACAGTTTGAAAATGATATCTCTGGCAAATTTCGTTCTCAGTGAAGCATATTGGGGTGTTATTTCACTAGTTTTTTGATGATGAGAGGATATAAAATGAAATATATAGTTCAGTTTGTAGCTTAAATACTGAAGTGAATTCTGAATTCGAGCTATTTAAAATGATACGGTGGATTATAAGGGGGTTCATTGTTCGCTCAGTTGTGGCTCTTTTACACTGATTTTTCCGTGATGAATATATATTCAAACCATCATTGTTCGAAGTTCATTATTTCAGTTGAGCTTCCCATTAGTTTCAAGCAATTATTATTGCTTGTGTATTGACGTTTGTTATAATTGTGTTTTTTGCTATATAAACGACCCAGCTATTCCTATTGCTTAGTATTCTTATACGATGACACTCAACAAGACCCAAAATCAGAACACTTTGAACAGGAATCAAATTGTATTCAAAATAATAATCATAAGTGAACAGCAATCACTAGTTTGAATAGCGTTCATATATTTATAGTATATAAATAAGAAGCTTCTAGATTTTTCTCCAATAATCTGCTCGGGCTGATCGGTTTAAAATTAGCCAATCAGCGCGCAGCAACACCATCATGCATAAAACATGCTTTAATCCAATCTATGTCCCATTACTAACGTTCAACCTTCCTTTTTATAATATAATCATATTTGTGTATAATTTCCTTCGTTCACAACCCCATACATTCCCTACATCTTATTCTGTCCATATTGTAAGAAGTGACTGTTAAGGAAGCTAAATGCTACATCGAGTATCAAAATAAATTACATCAATTATCAGCAATCCAATATCGAACAAATCGCGATGCTCATTCCACTAGACTTACACAAACAACATGGTATGTTATAGATTTATTTGAACCACTTCTCTACACATGAATTTGATTGAGAAAATGTTTACACTCTTTATTGCCAATTGTCTGACTTTCTACAGAGATGTGATATTAAATACAATGTACAAATGCAGCCTAAATTGTAATAAAGTGAAAACTGTCAAAACAATCATTCATTATTATATCTCTGTTATGTGTAAATTTAATGCTCACAAAATAACTTACGAGACTCACTTCTACCTGAAGTAAATAGTGATGCCATAGTTCAGAACAAAAACAACAACACATATTCACATGTATCTTCCCATTGTTATTTAAGACTGCAATTGATCAGTCTCTTTTTGGCAAATGTGAATCCTATGCGGACTGCCTCGATATTGCCTGAAATCAAAAGCTCTACAAACAAAGATGGAAAGTGGCTAGCAGTGGAATCCAGGACGTGCGTTTCGTGAATATAACTTCACCCCATTGCACAAGCAGATGACCATCAGGACTCATTAGCTAAGTGGATAACGCAATGGCGTTCGAGTTCCAGAGTGAATATCAACTCTGAGATGCAGGTATATCCAGCTAACGAGTTCCAAATAGGACGAAACACGCATCAAACTGGATTCCACTGCTAGCCACAATCCATCTTTGTTTAACAACAATAACAGTTTCAATATTGAAACAATCAAGTTCATTGAAAGCACAATTGACCAAACAACTGCTACCTCCAAATGCATTAATTATTATTATGTCAGTACGCTTCATATAAAACTTTGTGATTCACAATTAATTCAATGGGATGAAAGACGCAGTAGACGCCCAACTTCGAGATCAACAGGCTGGATTCCGTAAGGATAGGTCGTGCACAGACCAGATTGCGACACTACGGATCACCGTGGAACAATCAGTTGAGTGGAACTCATCACTATACGTCAACTTCATTGACTATGAGAAGGCATTTGACAGCGTGGATAGGAGAGCATTATGGAACCTTCTTTGGCACTATGGAGTTCCTGAAAAGATTGTCAACATTATCCAAAACTAATACCATGGTCTACAGTGCAAAGTCATGCATGGAGGACAGCTGACAGATGCATTTCCAGTAAGGATCGGAGTCAGACAAGGCTGTCTACTCTCCCCATTCCTCTTCCTTCTAGTGATTGACTGGATTATGAAGAATTCGACATCTGAAGGGAAACACGAAATACAATGGACAGCTCAGAATCAATTAGATGATTTGGACTTGGGAGATGACCTAGCCCTCCTCTCTCATACACACGAACAAATGCAGATGAAGATAGCAAATGTAGCAGCAGCCTCTACATCAATAGGCCTCCACATTCACAAAGGAAAAAGCAAGATTCTCAAATACAACATGGAGAACACCAACCCAATCACACTTGATGGAGAAACCCTGGAAGAGGTGGAAACATTCAAGTACCTGGGAAGCATCATTGATAAACAGGGAGGATCGGATGCAGATGTAAAGGCGAGGATTGGCAAAGAAAGGGCAGCATTTCTACAATTGAAGAACATATGGAACTCAAAACAAATGTCAACTAACTTCAAAGTGAGAATTTTCAGTACGAACGTCAAGACAGTGATACTGTACGGAGCTGAAACGTGGAGAACTACCACATTCATCATCAAGAAGGTACGAGTATTTCTAAACAGTTGTTTACGCAAAATACTAAATATACGTTGATCGGATACCATCAGCAACAGCTTTTTATGGGAAACGACAAACTAGCTTCCATCTGAAGGGGGAATTAGGAATAAACGTTGGAAGTGGATTAGATATACTTTGAGGAAATCGCCAAACTGCATCACAAAGCAAGTGCTAACTTGGAATCGTGGAAAAGAGGAAGATCAAAGAACATATTACACCGGGAAATAGAAGCAGATATGAAAAGGATGAATGGTAACTGGAAATAACTGGAAAGGATTGCCTAGGACAGGGTTGGATGGAGAATACTGACGGGTGTCCTTTGATCCTGTAATTTCAACCACTGACTATCTGGACTCAGTAGATGAACGTATAATGTACCAGCGTACGGTGCGAAAGATACTGTATTTGATTGTCGGAGTGAACATAAAAGCTGGGATACTGACGAATTCAGCTAAAGAATCCTAAACAAGAAAACACTCTCTTCCTGGATAACACAACCACTATTTACATCCAATCTCTTCTATAAAAAGTCAAAGCTAATAATTTAACTGTCAGTGTTCAATAAATAAAACTTTGTATATGGTTCCCAGGGTTACAATGACTTAATGATCAATAAGGCTTATTTGTAATAAGATACAATTACTTGTTTAAAAAAAGTAGAGACCACTAGATTCATAATTTCTAAGCATGGAACAATCTTTGTTGTACGCGCTAAATTCTATTTCGAAATTGATTTTCCCACCTCACAATCTTCCTACTAACAACAAAAAACAAACTAATCCCATATTGGTAAAAAAAACCGCTACAGTAAATGACATCTATGGTTGAAGAAAGGAATGGTTAACACTGAACAGACCACACAACTGCAAATTTTCCCATCTACAGGCATTTAGATAATTTAATAACTAAAGCGTATATAATGTATTACAAAACGCTAAACAAGATCTGTAGAATTATTCATTCATAAACTCCCATGAATTACCATATAGTAGCTTCACTACTCAACTCCACCTGTAACTCTTGTAGAATTACTGCCGGTCCTAAGCCCGGGTAAAGGAGAAGGAGGGTTGGGCATGTAGTTAGCGACCCTATCCCGTAGAAAAACCAAGTAGTAAAAACAACGCTAACTGGCTTCACTACTCATGTTGAGACCATTATTTATTACTGCTTAGTATGTTTATATCATATACGACTGATGATTGCTAGTTAGTTAGCTGTAATATCTAAAAAGAGAAGTTAAAATGACTTCTGGATTCCGCGGTTATCTACTAAATTTCCATGATTCAGCTTATAATATCAGCTAATGCCTGTAAAATAAACGAATTCGAACCCTTAGTAACAATGAGGTCACTATGTGTTCTCAAATAACTTTCGCTTATAACTGAAGAGTAGTGTAGTATATGTATGAATTAAAAGTCAGTTTTTCCACTATAAACATAATGATGATTTACAAAAGTATGAAAAATACTAAACATTTATCCTAATTGTAGTCTTTTTAGATCTGATATATGATACATATGACGCTCAGATATTGGTATATTGTTAAGAACATTCATGTACAGATTACATTTTCCCAAATAACCATTATGTTTAATTTCCTTTAATTGATCAATATATGACTGAGGAAGTTGTGATTGAATAGCTCCACGAATGATGATATCTAAATAATAAGGTGATGGATCACCTGGTTCAGTTGAATTCAAAATATAACTTCTACAATTAATAATTGAAGACTTTTCAGAAAAAAGATGAACTGGAATTTCAACAGGTCGGTATATTATAGGAGAAGATTCTTGTAAATCTAATGTTTCCATATCATTTATACACATTTTCCATATTGTACCCATAACATATTCAGATGGTGATGGTTTAATTGTTGCAGTAGCTCCAAACCAATTATCACTTATTCCACCAAATGAAAGAACATAATCTTCTAAAACTCCAATACCAACAAATTGAGCAGATTTATTGGATAACTGTATACGTTCTTTTAACAAATTACTCCCAAATGCAAAGTAATAGAACATGAGATAATGAAGAAATTGCTTGTCAAGATAATAGTGTAATACTGATCTTCAAAAATATAGGTCAATACTTTATGTTTCAGGTATTAATGAGTATAATCTGGAAAATTGAAGAAAGGAGATTATGTAAATTATAAGGAGAATCATAAAGCTAACCTAACTGTTATATCCTAGTGAAGACATAAGTACGGGTAACTCCCACGACCTATTAATGGACAATTATTCTATGTATACTCTTATTGTATAACTATTCAGTAACTAGATTATGTATATCTATATTCACCTTATCGTAGGCTTCATTTTGACCTATCAATTATAACTGTACGAATTACTGTTCCAAAATTATATACAGTTTATTGATTATTGTATCCCACGTTCACAGCCACATTTGGCTTGATCTTGTACAAATATTATTTTCTATTTTATGGTGTGATGTGATCTGTCTATCTGGTATATAAACAAAGTATGTTTGAAATAAACAATTCGCATAGATTCGCATAATAGAATCTGTCATCGGTGTTTTGGACTCAAGTGGACGGGCTAGGCGGATTAAGGACCAATAAGGACGCAAGAAAATTCATACTGATTGGATGTCCTTGATTGTCACCCTGTTAAGGTCGGAGAAGTCATATTTCTATTGGTGGATAATTCACGCGAGTTACGTCCTTGCTTAATTTGTAAGGTCATAGCAAATTGGCGACGGCCTTGAACAAGTCATAACACAAACTATTAATTCATTTGCATTGGTTGTTTGAATCTTTTCGTTCATGTTAAGGACTACAACTAATCACCACTGTGCTGATTCCCCCGATGTTGATATTGAGTGCAGATGTAGTCGGTTGATGATTCCGAAACAGAAGGAAACACTCGTAATAAATCTTACAAATAGCTAATAGATCAGAGTGGGTTTTGTCGAGAATTTAGTATTTTTATTGTTGAAATCATGGGTCAATTGAAGCTAGACCAACATCGAAAACCTGGAAGCTCACTTGTGATTGACTTCAAGAGATATTTCCTTAAATTCTAGTGGGAAGCAGTGGCCAGTGGATTTCTAGCAAGTCTGTTGTAGAGATATCAAATCACTGAAGACAATAGGTGAACGGTTGCTCAACTTCGTGTATCAGTTGAAGTTAGACATTAACACCGTTGGAAGCCGGCTGAGTGGCCTATCGATTAAGTGCTATGGCGCGAGACTCGTAGGTCCTGGGTTTGAATCTCGCGAGTGCAGGAGCGTGGATGCGTACTACTGAGGAGTCCCATAATAAGGCGAAACGGCCTTAAAGCAGTGTTTCCAGGTTTTCGATGGTGGTCTAGCTTCAATTGACTCACGTTTTCAATAGTTTCTTAATTCAAATGTCAACCCTTTCTAGAATTTGAAAGACTTGAATCCTGATTACATTTCGCAAACTTAACTTGACAGATTATTAGTCATTTCAAGTCAGCCTTATGGTTAGTTTGAACAACATTTGTTTACATTAGTATAAATGGATATAATGGCTACATAAACCTACTTTTTATCAGTAAGGGGATTTGCGGAGATTGTAATATTTTTAACAGTTGAATTTAGGAGTTGGTCTATGCCAGACCATCATTAAAAACCAGGAAGTACCGGACGGCTGTCTCATCCTATTATAGATTTCATCAGCGGTCCACACCCACAACTCTGCACGTGAGACTTAAACTCAGGACTAGAATCGTTGCACTCGAACGCTTAGGCTCTATACGAATGGACTTACATTCAACGGTATTAATGTCTAACTTAAACCGATTTATGATCTTGCGCAACCCTATATCCGTTGTCTAAGGTCGATACCAGTCTCTACCGGACATAGACTTGACTCCACTGATCACAACTGCACACTAGAAATCCAAGAAATCCATCTTGAAGCTAGTCCTTAGTGAGGACATGCTTATTTTCAGAATGTGGAATTGTGGAGGTTTTGGTAATTTTAATAGTTGAATTCACGAATTAATTTAAGCAAGACCACCATTGAAAACCTGGAAGCATTGGACGGTCGTTTCGTCCTATTATGGGTCTCCTGAACAGTGAACATCCACAATCCTGCATGCGGAACTCGGACTCAGGACATTCAGTTTCAGCCAATGGATGAATGGTTGCGGAAGATCACGGATCGATTGAAGTTAGACATTGATACCGTTGACTGTCAGTCCATTAGTCTAGAGCCTAAGTGTTCGCGTGCAACACTCCTGGTCCTAGGTTCGAGTCCCAAATGCGGAGTTGTGGGTGTGCACTTCTGAGGAGACGGTCACCCAGTACTTTCAGGTTTTGAATGGCGGTCTAGCATAGATCGACTCATGAATTGAACCTACTAGTTAACTTTAAACATTCAATGAACAAGAGCACTTTAGTACAAAATAATTTATAATCAAACAAAATATTGAGACTCACCACTATTTACATGGAATGAGCAGGACGATATAACTGTCAATGGAATAACCAAGCTTAGATTAATTAACTCATCTACAAGTCATTTGTCTTTAGCATTAATAAACTGCTAACGCATGTTATTGGTTGTTACAATGACCTTGTGTTTGTTTTAAGACTGTATCATTGGCTAATAAACTGGTCTTAATCAATATGCCTATTTTGTTTACTACATGACCTAAAAAAAATTGGCCTAGTTACAAAGAATTCAAAACTGACAGTTATAAAAGTTGATTCCAACATTATGGGTGCTCTTGAAGTTTTGTCATTTATAATTAATTTTGATGTAATAGGTTGAAAATGGTAAGATTGAACACAATAGAACATTGATAATGATAGTAGAACTAGAGAGCTATCAGTATCTCCATGACAAAAGTACATAGTGTAAGCTATTGTTTTTGCTTGTGAATGGATTCTGATTGTTTATTTCTTTTTCAATTTGATGCTCTGTATGTTTAGTATCTAATGAATACCACATGATTACACCAAATAGCTTAGAGAATAAAAAACCTTATATCAATAAAGAAATAACTGCTCTTGCATAGTGAAACGCCTAAGTGAATGCAAGTTAGTTTTTCTGCCGGGATGGGGTCACTAACTCCATGCCCAATCCTCCTCCTTTTCCCTGGGCTTGCTATCGGCAGTAACTCTAGAAGAGCTACAAGAGGAGTTGCATATCATTATGCTTGTCAATAGAATCCAATCAGTCATTAAAATAAGCGAAATAATAGCCACTGAATTAAAATAAGAATATAGTCTTCGTTTAAACGTAAGAAAAGTATGAAAACAAGACTCACATGGTAAGTGACAACCACTTAATTTCTCTTCGAAGAGATTTAATCTTGCTTAGTTTTTGTATACTGCATTTAGCAGTCAAAGTCTATATATTGTTCACTGACTTAAAATTCCCTAGAAACTCCTTCATGGTAACTTTGGACTGCTATTGCAATAGTAAAATTTATGAACGGACCAGTCACATTTAAGATAGCATATCTTGTATTGCATTGGTGCGAAATTCATTCACTCATTTGGCTAAATATCACTTTATCATTAAAGCTTATATCAGTTTGTGATGAAAACATAAAATCAAATTCTTGATATTAACCATCAACTGTAAATCTTAATCATAATCCCTCACACTAATATATAACTCTCATTTAACCCTGGTAAGGTCATTTTAACGTTGTTCAAAGGTTATCCATAAATTATTGTCATACTGAACTCGTCGACTTATGATTAAAAACATACTTTCAGTTGAACACTAAAATCTATTAACAAAAAAAGGAACACCAATGAGAACATCAATATCAGAGCTTATTGCAGAAGCAGTGATGCAGAGACTGGAAGCCTCAACCTTACCGGTGGTAAAGCTAAAAATGTGAGTTCGTTATGTGGACGACACGCTGATTATCGTTGGAAAAGACAAGCTGGAAAAAACCTACAACCTGATCAACAATGTCTTCGTTGACATCAAGTTCACAATGGTACATGTGTCAGACAAGAAATTAGCATTCTTTGATTCACTAGTCATCAGAACCGGCACAGTAAAACTGGAGACTTAAGTGTATCGAAAGCCAACCAACACAGCTCGAATATTCTATTACAGCAGCAACAATACAGGAACTCACAAAATCAACTGTGTACAAACTTTATTCAAGAGAGCGCGAGCTAACAACAGCACACTTGCAACGCGGAAAAATGAAGAAAAATATTTACAGACTAATTTTCTAAGGAATGGCTACTCAATCAATCTAATAAAAAAATATCAACTTAATAAACCAAAGGAATCGAAATCAAGTACAGAATTCAACAAACAGATCACCCTACTATATATAGAAGACATATCAGAAATTACAACGAGACTTTTGAAGCCGTTTGAAATAGGTTTTGCACACAAACCAGCGAAATCCCTTCAATCAATTTTATGAAAACCAAAAGATGAAATGACAAAAGAAGAAGAAACCGAATGTCGTCTGCAAAATAAATTGTTCCAACTGCGAAAAATACCACATCAGACAAATTGGCTTCCTCCTTCATATTCGCCTACATGAATATCAATTAGCAGTTCAGCACGACGACATACCCTCGCTTATATAAATGTATGCGGACAACTGTGAATACACATTTGACTGGAAAACTATTGAGATCTTAGAGGGAATACTAAAAGCACCATGGAATTTTTAAAAGCTTGGCACTCAGATCAATCGGCAATCAATAAACACATATGTGGAGAAATTCGAACACTTCGCTTCTACCTGACGTTTGTGGGGATGATATTGTTGAGAAGAACAATGAAAGTCCCACGACCAAACCGCCTAACACAAAGAAAAAAAACTCCACTTAAATATCTGCTAAAAACATTATTTGCACTGAGTTGTTCCATAACCACTTATGCATGCTACAGAGGGTTGAAAGTGAATGAACAAAGTCAGAGTATTTTACAACATTACACAATTACTTCACCAACATACAGTTTGACAGTCTTATAGCTCTCAACCATAGTTTTATATGTTGATATAACACCTAATATCTAACTACTACCTAGGTATTTTCATTT